GCGGCGGGCGCCACGTCGAAACGGCTGCTTTGAAATTGCTCGGGCCTGTGCAAAACCCGCCTGGACCTCTAGGCCATGTCCGGTGGGGTGAAAGGACACTTAAAAATCACCCCGTTATTTTTCGAGGGCGGCTAGGACCCGACAAACGTCCTGGGCCGCCCCTTTTTGTTTTTTGATTTTTGCCCCAGGGGCCTTCATCCGGACATGGGGACCGGACTCCGGACACCGGGCACCGGAATCTGGACTGTCTGGAACCCGGTCCGGATGTACGGGCGGTTACCATGGGTTTCTCTGATATACTCCAAACTCAGTCTGTATATAAGGGGTGCTGGACCCGTTTTCCAGCAGGTGCTGCTCCCCACCAATAGATGGAGCCTCACCGGGAGTGCTAGTGGTGTCTGCTCTTATCAACACCACTAGCACTGGTGGGGGCGTGTAAAAAAAAAAAAAAAAAAAAAAAGGCGGTATTGTATCCGAGTCCAGTGGGTTTCGAGCTCATGATCTGTTGATTTTTTTTATTTTTTTTTTTTTGATGTTTCTACCAAAAGTTGCACTGCTGCAGACTATATCGTCGTCCCAAGCAGGGATGGCTGGCGTGTAGTCGGTGAGAGGTGCAGCACATGTGTCAACATTTTTTTTTTTTTTTTTTTTTTTGAAGGGCGGTCATGCCCTCAGCAGAAGCCTTGGGCGCCACATGCGTTCAAAGCATCAATGGCTCATGGATTTCTGCACTGACGCATTTATTATTTTGCGTGCATCACTCAGAGGTTGCAGCACATATAGCCTAAAACAGATTTTGTCTTTTTTTCGTAACTTTTTTTCGATGCTGTTCTTTCATACTTTGGAGAAGTGTACCACCATTCACTCACCCACATGGGTTTATGTTTTGCTAATTTCAGACCCGCACTCGTTTTTTTTTGTTTTTTTTTCCTCTGCGCTTGTGATTTGCACGTTTTTTTGTTTTGTTTTGTGTTTTGTGCAGAAATGCAGAGTCGACCTTCCAGGAGGACCTCTGGATATCGAATGGAGTGAGGAAGATAACCATGTGTACATGACTGGACCCGCTGTGAAGGTCTACGAAGGCAAAGCATATTTATAGTCTCTGCTGGACTTGAACCCTTGATCATCCGTGGAAGAAAGAGAGAAGTCTTGCCATTCCATCCCTTTTGTGATTAGGAATATATATCTATATATATATGTATATCGTCAATCCCTCGCTGCCTACGTTTTTTTTCTGGCAGCTCTGTTTGACGATATATGATGAGTCAGTCGGTGGAACTCCGACGAAACAGTTTGCCACAGCCCCTTGTTTGTTGTCCTCTTCTCTCTTTCTCCCTCTCTGCCTACGGTTTACCGGGCAGCTCTGTTTGACGATGTATATAATTATTATAATATATAATTATTATAATATATAATTATAATATATAATATGGATGTGTGTTTACTACTCGTTAGACTCTTTAGTTTAGTTTATATTATATATATAGTATATATATAGTATATACTAGTTTATAGTCTTTTATAGTCTTAAGAACTTGGGAATATATATATACCCTCGTTTGTTGTCCTCTTCACCCTCTCTGCCTACGGTTTGCCGGGCAGTTCTATTTGACGATATATATATATGTCTTCTTACTTCCGTCATCAGGAATATATCTGTTTGTCTGTCTGTCTGTCTTTCTTTTTCTTCTTAATTTGGAAGTTCTGGAGAGAATTTTGGACCATACGCCCAGTAATTATCGCTGTATCTGGACTGGAAGTTGACCCCGAATACAGCTATAATGACCGGGCGTTCTATTTGGATGAAGACGGTCGTGGGTTTAAGAGAATTGGCCCGGTTCAAATCCGTGTGTGCGCGCAGGAGCTGTCTGAGGCCAGAACGTACCGACTAGAAAACCGCGGTTACAAACTGGAACCGAATGTGATCCTGCTTCTCCAATTTTGTTAGGTCTCCCTCCCCGCCCGCTCTCCTCCTCGCTTTCTCTTTCCGTGCCATTTCACTCCTCAAAAGTTTCATCGTAGTTCTTTGCACTTTTTTCTGCCTGCTGCGTTTAGTTACAATGCTTAAAAGTTTTATTCAGTTTGTTTTGTTTTTTTTTTTGCCCTCATCCTGCTATTTTTCTAATAGCATCCCCTTTTCTTCCGTCTGTTTTTCATCTTTTTCTTTACTTCAATATTTCCTTTCATCGAATCTTCGGTTAATCTGTGCAAGCGGGACCTTACGCAAGGCGATTTTTTTTTTTACTGCCTTCATTGCTTCCTACAGCGTTTTGCAACCACTTGTCTGCTGAGTCTCTGGAAATGGATTCAACGCGGGTCCCGCGTTGAAAACGAGGTAAATTGGCGTCGAAACGCCAGTTTATCACGATTCACCGTGACCCGCGAAGGATTTTTTGCGGGCCAAAATAAGCAAAAAGATGAAATAAAAAAATATAGGGTCATAGATCTCTTTGAGATCTGCGAATATTTTTTATTTTATTTATTTTATGAACTTACACATATTTTAAAAAAATAAAAAAAACATGAAAGTGAAAGGAAAAAAGAAAAGGAACGATGAAATGAGAAGTTTTTCTTTTCTCAGAGATTTTTTTTTTTTGGTGGGAAACAAATACGCAAAAAAACAACTAAAAAAAAAAGAGGGTTGTAGATCTTTTTAAAATCTACAACCCCATATTTTTTTATTTTGCGTTGTGAATTTTAATATTTTTTCAAAAAGGCAAGAACTTGGAGACAAAGAAAAATACCAACAAAAGATGATGAAATGTTTTTTTGTTTTTTTTTTTGCATTTTATTTCGATGCAGGGTGTGTTGCCAGAGACATCCCTTCGCACACACACACACGCACACACACACATGCACACACACACACACACACACACACACACACGCACACACACACACACACACACACACACACGTGCACACACACACATGTGCACACACGCGCATGTGTGTGTGTGTGTGTGTGTGTGTGTGTGTGTGTGTATGTGGGCGCATGTGCGCACACACACACACACACACACACACACACACACACACTCTCACACACACACTCACACACATACATACCTGCGCACTCGCACGGTGGGGCGGTTGGGCTGTTGGGGGGTAGTGGGGGGTTGGTGGGCGG